TAAGAGAAGTAGAGGAAAAATTGGAAAGAGAAATGAGAGTGATACTAGAAAATCATGAAAAACATGTCAACAGGTTGGTAAAGGAGACCCAAAAAGATACTAGAGAAAATAACACCTTAAAAAACAGACTAGACCAAATGGCAAAAGAGTTCCAAAAAGCCAATGAGGAGAAGAATGCCTTAAAAAGCAGAATTGGCCAAATGGAAAAGGAGGTCTAAAAGCTCACTTAAGAAAATACTTCCTTAAAAATTAGAATGGAGCAAATGGAAACTAATGACTCTATCAGAAATCGAGATATTATAAAAACAAAACCAAAAGAATGAAAAAATAGAAGATGATGTGAAATATCTCATTGGAAAAACAACTGACCTGAAAATAGATCCAGGAGAGATCATTTAGAAATTATTAGACTGAAAAGCCATGATCAAAAAAGAGCCTAGACATCATCTTTCAAGAAATTATCAAGGAAAACTGTCCTGATATTCTAGAACCAGAGAGTAAAATAGAAATACGAGAAGCTACAGATCACTGCCTGAAAGAGATCCCAAAAGGAAAATTCCCAGGAATATTATAGCCAAATTCCAGAGTTCCCAGGGCAAGGAGAAAATATTGCAAGCAGCCAGAAAGAAACAATTCTATTATCATGGAACTACAATCAGGATAGCACAAGATTTAGCAGCTTCTACATTAAAGGATTGGAGTACTTTGAATACGATGTTCCAGAGGTCAAAGGAGCTAGGATTACAACCAAGAATCACCTACACAGCAAAACTGAGTATAATCCTTCAAGGGGAAAAAAAATGATATTCAATGAGATAGAGGAATTTAATGTGTTCTTGAGAAAACAGAGCTAAATAGAAAATTTTACTTTTAAATAGAAGACTCAAGAAAAACACATAAAAGTAAAGGAATGTACTGGGAGAAAGAGAAAGGGAGAGGTAGAATGGGGTAAATTATCTCACATAAAAGATGCAAGAAAAAGCTTTTACAGTGGAGAGGAAGAGGGGGGACGTGAGAGGGAATGAGTGAAACTTAAACTTATCAGAATTGGTTTAAAGAGGGAATAACATACACACTCAGTTTGGTATAGAAATCTATCTTACCCTACAGGAAAGTAGAAGGAAAGGGCATAAGAGAAGGGAGGTGATAGAAGGGAGGGTAGATTGGGGGAGGGGGTAATCAGGAGCAGACACTTTTGAAGAGGCACTAGGTAAAAGAAGAGAATAGAATAAATGGGTGACAGGATAGGATGGAAGGAAAAATAGTCTTTCACAACATGACTATTATGGAACTGATTTGCATGACTACACATGTAGAACCTATATCAAATTGCTTGCCTTCTCAATGTGGTGGGGGAGGGAGGAAGGGAATTTGGAACTCGAAGTTTTAAAAACGAATGTTAGAAATTTATTTTTATGTGTAGCTGGGGAAAAAATAAAATACCAAATTAAAAAAAAAAAAAAAGAAAACTCCAAATGGGGTTGTGAAGCGTCAGATGCATTGGCTGAACTTCACAAAAAGGACAATTGTGGGTTTTGCTTAACAAGCACTTGGGGAAATGAAGGGAGAAATATGTGGAGTGTGGCACCATCTCCAATTGAGTGTCATAAAAGCTGTAACACCAACCAGGAGCAGCCTTGTTCCTGTCCATCTAGGTAACCAGTCTGATCCAGTCTTACTTCAGTCCCTTCCTGTCCGTGCTCTACTTTCCTTCTGCTTACTTTAAGTCCGAAGTCATATAGCTTCCCCACCCCTAGATTTCCAGGAACAGTTCTCTTACTTTGATTGCCCCACTCAGCTGCAGTTGGGAGGGTAAGCAAGGTACCTGCTCAGCTACAGCAGATAGGAAGGAATACCTCAAATGGGGCATAGATAAGCATCTCTTTTCTGTTCTAAGTTTATGAAATTTGTGACAGAAAGTCTCTTCAGGGCAGAGGAAACAGAAACCAGAGGGCTATGGGACATATATTTCTGCATACAGTTCTTACCTTCATAGGATTATAGATCGGAGCTGGAAGGTACCTCAGATTCCACTGAGTCCAACCCTTTCTCTTTATAGATGAGGAAACTTAAGCCCAGGAGAGTTAAGTAATTTACTCCAAGTCACACAGCTAGCATGTGAACTTAGGTCTTCCTGACAGCAAGTCCATTTCCTTATCCACTATACCAGATGTGTCAAACATATAGTCTATGGATGGCATGTAGCCCAACGCTCCCAAGTGTAGTCTGCACCAGACTACAATGTAATTGGGAAATATTTAACAAAATAAAAATACTATAGAACAAAGAGAATATTGCACTTTAAAGCTAAACGGCCTGCAGGGATCTTTTTGGATGGATTAGAGGAACTCCATTTCTATTTGAGTTGCTGCCTCATGCTTCAGTGACCCAGTGCCCTCTCTTCTAGAAGGCATTAGAAATACTTGTTAACTTATCTGGGTATATATTGTTTGCTCTCAATAGAAAGTAAGTATCTTGAGGGCAGAAACTTTTCATTTTTATCTTTATATCATTATCTAGTACCCTGCCTGGCATATAGTAGGCACTTGACTGAAACTCACTGAATTGCATTGGATTGAATTGAATAATGTGTCCATTCACCTACAGTGAATAACCATCAACACCGGGTAAAGGAAAAATTATATTCAGGGAATCAACCTTAAAATCTAATGGTGTCCTCATGGAAACTGGGCTAGCAGAATCAAATTGTGGACTGGTGAGAGTTTTGTACCTTATTTGCAAGGCTGAGATATACAAACATATATGTATGTGGTCTAGTCAGCAGGGGTGGGAAACCTTCGGCCTCGAAGCCACATGTGGCCCTCTAGGCCTTCAAGTGCAGCCCTTTGACTGTGAAGTTTGGATTTCATCAAAGGGCTGCACTTGAGGACCTAGACGGCTACATGCAGCCTCAAGGCTGCAGTTTCCCTACCCCTGGTCTAGTGTAAAGAGCAATACTGGTCTGAAGATCTGGATTCAAGTTCCTATCCTGCCTGTGATTAGCTGTGTAATCTTGAGTATGTCACTAAACTTCACTTAGACTCCCTTTTCTTTTTTGTAAAATGAGGCTAGTTATAATTGTTCTGTCTAACTCACAGAGCTTTTGTGAGATTATAGGACACTGTAGAGCTGACACATTGCACAAATGTGAAGGATTCTTATTCACCCATAGCATATACAGAGCAACACTCTCCTATTGGCTCCACTCTAAAACTACAGAAACCATAGGAGAATGTAGATTTAACAGAGGATGAGATCACCCCAATCGAAGGGTGGAAAAGCAGCACTATAAAACTTGCTGTGCTTTCAAAAGCGACACCAATCATTTCATCTTGTTTGCCCCTCCCTTCCAAAAGCCACAGTCCTTCGCCTTCCCTGCCCCCACCCCCTTGTAGGAGTGGGAAGACAAGTTCTTACCAATATGGGCATGTTTGTTCTCTTCCCATTAATTGAATATTCACCCTCTTTTCCGGACGAGTAAAGCCTTTTGTGGGTAAGGACGCCAAAATGAGGATTGCCAGTTGGAGCACTAGCCAGTGTTAAAGAGGGATTACTACAATGGTATGTAGAGTTCTAATCAGCTCCCCACACATAACACACACACCCTTTAAGTTGGTTTAGAGTATTCAAACTACCTTTCATGTCAATGTCTTAATTACTATACATTATATATTACATATTAAATAAGACCTCTAAAGGTTAGGTGCAAAAAAGGTAAGTGTAAAACTGTGTACTTTCTTTGCTAAATACAGTTCTTTCCCCCAGCTATCACTTTAAAGTCAAGAAATATTCCTTTTTTAAACTTTTCATAAATTTTGGTGCCATTCATTTTTATATCACAGTCATTACCAGCTATAGCCTAATCATCAGCATTGAATTATCCCTCTCTTGCGACCAAGAAAAACAGTTAAGCAAAACTAACCGATATAATGACAATGTCAGAAAGTGTATGTACTGTTCTGTACCTGTACTCTTCCTCCCACTGTCTCTGAAAAAGAGGGAGATACATTTCATTATCTGTTCTTCATGGCCAAAATTAGTTTTAAAGTCATAGACCTTAAGGTTATAGAGCTAGAAGGAACCTCAGAAGCCATCTGAAGGTCACACAGTTTCTGAGCTGGGACTTGATCCGTCATTGTTTATTTTTTCACCTTTCCTGATTTACTCATTCTGTAACAGACCTTCTTGAAAGGGTGGTATAAAAATTGTGAGAAAAGAGGAGAGAGTGGAAATATTGTCAAAGTAGCCAGATGATCCAAAAAAATCTACCAATCAATTTTAAATAATATTATTAATTTCCCCCCACTGGTAGCACAATTCATTGAGATAAATTCTGACAGTTTTCACTGGATGCATTACTCCAAACTAGAGTGAATTACAATGGACCAGTATAATCTGGGCTATCCTTACTTCATTGGGTCCACAATGAACCCAAACTCCCAGGTTGGCCCTAAGAGTTTATATACCTAGGGTTCTTCAAACTAGACTCAACCAAATGTCAAGTTTAATGTCTGAAGATCTATTTCAATCTACTGCCTTGAGGCTTATGGAGAGGGAATGCAACCAACTGTTACTCTCATGAAGTAAAATGGGTAAGGGAGAAAGACGGTCTGAGCTGTTCACCTCCCAGAATTATCTTCCCTGTCAGCCCACATTCCCAGCCTACCCACTGCTAACTGCCACCAGTGAAACTTTGTAAATGGAAAAGCCAGACATGTGGCAGGACAAATATATATATTTCTAGGATAGCAGATAGAAAGTCCACAGTAAGAAGTTGGGAAAGAAAAAAAATGAAGATGATGATTCTTCTTTTATTTATGGGATTCTCCATGTGTTATTAAGAAACCAAAGGAGTTTTTAACCAAATTTACTTCTCAGCCTTTATTTAGTCTGTTGTGCACTTGCATTATTTCAGCTTCAAAGGGAAATCTTTTTTCCCCTTTCTGTTTGTCATCAATTCCCTTTTCTTTTTTTCTCATGGATTAATCTGATGCTATCGTGTGAAAGTTTCTTTGCTTCCAAAGGTCATCTCATGCTGCTTGGGCTGTGTTGAATGCTACTGGACATAAAGATCTAGAAAGGAAATGCAATAGGGTATAGTCAATATTGCCTAAAGAGACCCTTTTCATGTATTAAATGCTCATTTTACCCTATAATTCAAGGATAACCCCTGGTTTGAAGAAATATTCAGCCTCTTCTTCCCCTTCTGGTTCTTCAGGGTACAAAAATATCTTATAATACAGAAACCTTGAGAGAGGTTCCCTCAGGAAAATAAAGAGGAAGTTAGGGTCCATTGAATATCTACACATTGGATGAAGCAAGATATGAAAGGACAGGTTGGAAGGATACACAAAATGTTTTGTTCTAGCAAAGGGAATACAGGTAGCAAAGTGAGGAATTGGCTGGAGGTGTTAATTTGGATTCCAAAGCCATAGAGGATTCTAGTTGCAGGCATGACACCAGGCCCGTAGCCAATCAGAAGTCACAAAAAGACCAGAAGAATAAAATTCTGAATCAGTTCATAAATACGAGGCACATTTAGACACCCAATCTACTGCAAAGTGAAGAAGGTTCAGGAAAAGGCAAAGAAGAAAGCTTGACAGTTTTGAACTGAGGGGAAAAATGGCAAGGATGATAAAGCATTTACCTCCTGTACATTCAGTATACTCCTAAAGGCCATCTCTGCAGAATGAGAAATCTGGCACTTCTGTAGACATTTAGGAGGAAGAACATTTTACAACTTTCCTATCTGTTTCAGCAAATTTGTAGGATTACAAGTTACTCAACAACTTAGCCAAATCGCTGCTTTTGCAGAGACTTGCCCTGAATTTTTTATAAGACTTAGGGTTGGAAAAAAAAAGACTTAAGGTTGCATCCTGCCAGTAGTTTTGAGGCAAAACACTCCTGACTTCATCAGGAAGGAAGAATCAGAATAAAAAGTGGGAAGACAGGTTGAGGAGCAGGAGGACAGATCACAGCTCTTTTCTTTGGTAAGAAACAATAGCAAGTAATGCTTAACCATAACTCACAGCAGTTTGAGTAGTTTTATCAATGATTTTAAAAGATGGTCATCTTGTTCTTAACTATAATAAATATGCTAATAATGGCATGGATCTCAACTCACTCTGCTTTATTTTATTAACTTTGTAGTTAATATATGCTATGCTTCAAAATTCTTAATTGCAACATGTAGTACTTTCTGTCTCCTTTCCACTCATATAAGAACACCTGAAACTATGAATACAACAGGCAGACTAAGCAATTAGTCTACCTATGATGAAATAATGATAGCAAAACCATATTTCTCTAAAGAGGGAAGGAAAAATCAGTCCCATTGGACTTCCTTTCCTGGAAGAAGTTAGAGACCTGGGACTTAGAAAACACCTGAGAAGTTTCCTGCAATTTTCCTCCTTACTCTGTCTCTAAGCTACCACGTTTCCTTCCGTGGTCCGTATAGACAATTATCAATACGAGAAGAGCCAAATGGTTATTTGAGGTTAGAGCAGTGCGCAGAGGAAGTGAGGAGAGAAGGCATGTCTCATTTCTGGTACTAGTCTCATGGATCCAGGTGGGCCCCTGGTTTTCTCCAGATCAGAGATTCCCAAGAAGCTCAGAATGGCTCTGAGCCCTCCCCAGGAGTGTCTCACAGAACAATAGTGGCATAGGGAAGAGATGCTTAGCCTATACTTCAATTCTGTCCCAAATCTGAGACCTCTAAAGGGAACCTCAGAACCAACCAAATTCTGGGATCACAACCCTTAAGGAAAGGTGACAAGTTAAACAACCATTCGATTTGTTGAATTTGACTCTCCGCGCTTCACACATGAATCCAGGCATCTAACAAACATTTTTTTTTGGGGAGGGGGGGTTAGGCAATGGAGTTAAGTGACTTGCCCAGGGTCACACAGCTAGTGAGTGTTATGTGTCTGAGGCTGGATTTGAACTCAGGTCCTCCTGAATCCAGGGCCAGTGCTGTATCCACTGTGCCACCTAGCTGCCCCCTCTAACAAACATTTTTAAGCACCTACTGCGTACAGAGTCCTGTGCTAGTCCTATGCTAGAGGAGAAGCCAAGTTTAGAAAAGAAATGGTCCCTGTTCTCCTGGAATTTACCTGTATAGGTAAGCAATTAGCCATTCCACATCCCTCTGGTCTTTCAATTAAGGTGCCAAATGTGACCTAACATTATTAGAAACTAAAACTGCAAAGACAACTTGAGCAACCAGGAAAAACCAAGCATCATTAAGAGCCTAATGTGTATCTAGTATTGTCCTACACATTGCAGCTAGATATGAGAAGGAGAAGACAAATCCTTACCTTTGTAACATGCGTAACAAACAACAAAAGATATATGACAAGCTCAGTATTCAAAATGGATAATTTAGAGAGCAGTTAATTATATTATAAAATATTTCTTGAATTTTACAAAAAGTTTCCATTAAGTAAGGAAACTAGTGGGAGGGGAGAGGAATTTTTACTTCAGATGGAAGTTGGATTAGTTAATTAATTAGTTAAATCCCCATTAGATTACAAGATCCTTAAGGGCAGGGACTTTTGCCTCTTTTATTCATCCTTAGCATTTAGTACTTCATCTGGCACTTAGCAGACATTTAATCAATGTTTGGGCAGCTAGGTGGCAAAGTGGATAGAGTGCTAGGCCTGGAGTCAGGAAGCCTCATCTTCTGAAGTTCAAATCTGTCCTCAGACACTTACTAGGTGTGTGACCCTGGGCAAGTCATTTAATCCTGTTTGCTTCAGGCTCCTCATCTGTAAAATGAGAAGGAAAAGGAAATGGCAAACCACTCCAGTATCTCTGCCAAGAAAATTCCCCAAAAGGAGTCAGACACGACTGAAAAAAATGACTAAACAAAAAAAAATTGAAAAGCCTCTTGATGAGGGTAAAAGAGAAGAGTGTAAAAACTGGCTTGAAGCTTAACATCAAAAAAAAAAAAAAACAAGATCTTGGCAACTGGTTCCACCACTTCCTGGCAAATACAAGTAGAAGAAACGGAAGTAGTGTCAAATGTTACATTCTTGGGTTCAAAGATCATTGCAGATGGCAACTGCAACCATGAAATTTAAAAAAAAAAATGTTTGCTCCTTGGAAGGAAAGAGATGGCAAATCTGGACAGCATACTAAAAATAAGACATTACCTTGTTAATAAAGTTCCATAACGTCAAGGCTATGGTTTTTCCAGTAGCAATGCAGGCTATGAGAGTTGGACCATAAGGAAAGCTGAGTGATGCAGAATTGATGCTTTCTAATTGTAGTGCTAGAGAAGACTTTTGAGAGTCCCTTGGACAGCAAGGAGATCAAATCAGTCAAAACTTAAAGAAATTAATTGAGACTATTCATTGGAAGGTCAAATACTGAAGTTGAAGCTTAAATACTTCGGCCATGTAATGAGAAGATGGGATTCATTCGAAAAGTCTCTACTGTTGGGAACAATTGAAGAAAAAAGGAAAGGGGAACAGCAAAGGATGAGATGGAGAGATAGTGTCATGGAAGCAACAAACATCAACCTGGACAGACATTGGGAGATAGTTGAGAATAGAATGGCCTGGCATGGGGTCCATGGGGTCATGAAAAGTGACAACAACAAATGTTTATTGATCAATTGACTAGATGACTTGAGGCCCCTTCTAAACTCTGAGGTTTTTGATTCTAAGATTCTGTAATTGTATAATCTTCATGGACTTATGTGATTGTAGCTGAGTACTTATTTGACACTCACAGCTATGGGGAGGGGAAGCTGAAGTACTAAAGCAACTGTCAACTAAAGACCAATCAGGAATGAACATAAAGTATGGTCTGATTTACTACAATTGACTAGTCTTAAATTACAGTCCAATCTTAACTGGACTATAACTTTTCAGGAACTTGACTATTACATAAAGTAAGGTGTATTTGCAAATATAAACAGTAGGTACAAATGTCACATACATATTTTAAGTATAATACATACAGCCAATGATACCTTCACAAACACAGCTGCTGACAACTGGCTACATACGTGTACAGTGAAAAAAAAAAGAGGTAGGAGCCTAGAGTCTGGGGAGGTTCACTTTGTTGGTTTTTATTTGTTGGTTTGTTTATATGCTTTAGATATTCGTCTGAACTGCTGCCAAATAAGCATTTAAGACTGGGGGAAATCCTGATTTCCTCTGAATATAAAGGACCATCTACAAACAGAATTCCCTCCCAAAGTTTCAGTCAAGGTTGATCATCCCTGAAGTATACCAGATGGTCACCTACGTGGTATATTATAAGGGACTTTGGGAAGACCCACACTGCTTCTCCTGAATGATCTTCACTGGTCTGGCACTGATGTCTATTATTCCACCATTGGGGGCAGCTAGGTGGTGCAGTGAATAGAGCTCTGGCCTTGGAGTCAGAAGGACCCGAGTTCAAATCCAGCCTCAGACACTTAACACTTAACTAGTGGTGTGACCCTGGGCAAGTCACTTAATCCTAATTGCCTCACCAAAAAGCAAAAGAAAAGAAAAAGAAATTCCACCATTAACAATTTATTCCTTTGGGTAGACCATTGCTTTCACCAGGTATCCTCTTTTAAAATGCAAATAATCCCAGCACTGGCTGGATTATGAAGTCCTTTATTAATAAGGGGTATTAATATTGTTCATGATAATAATTAGCAAGCATCTTATTATGAATTATTTTATCTGTTGAGCTCTTTAGTGAAAGCATAAAAACGTAATCCTGTATAGGGAAAGTGCTGCTAAAAAAAGACAGTAAGGATGGAACAGAGGGAGATGAGTAAGAAGAGAAGCAAGAAACCTCACACACTTCACAATTTTGCCTGTGACTTGACCTGACAGTGTACGTATAAATAGTATAATGCAAAGGTTTGCATAGATATGTGAAAATGTGTATCTAGACATATGTTTCTGCTTAACATAGTGTCTGACACACTGTTGTTGTAGTTCAGTTGTGTCACACTCTTTGTGACCCTATTTGGGATTTTCTTGGCAAAAATACTGGAGTAGTTTGCCATTTCCTTCTTCAGCTCCCAACCTGCCCAGGGTCACACCTCTAGTAAGTGTCTGAGGCCACCTTTGAAATCAAGAAGATGAGTCTTCATGACTTCAGGGCCAGCACTCTACCCACTTCACCACCTAGCCTGGCACATAGTAGGCGCTTAATCAATGTTTATTGACTGTACGTCCTGCCTCTAATGAATATGACCCTGGACAAATCACTTAACCTTTGAGTAACCAGGCCACTCTGCAAGAACATAAATTGCAGAGAAGGTGCCAATCTACAATAGTAGAGGAAATTCTTCACCCAGAAGAGGAAGTTCTCCTGCTCCAATAAAAAAAGATAAATATTTGCATATGAAAAGTAATGTGGCACAGGAGATAGAGGAACAGCCTTGGAGCCAGGAAGACTTGGCAAGTCTTCACTCTAGTGCATTCTAGCTCTGGGATTCAGGGACAAATCATTTAACCTATCAACGCCCCCAGGCAACTCTCTTAGACAATACGTTAATGGAGGGAGTCTTCACACCGGGACCTTCCTTACACTAATGAAATCCCTGGTCTGATCCCTACCACCTCCCCTAAAATGTTTGCATTTGTGTAGTACATTATCAAAGGGTGTGTGTGTGTGTGTGTGTGTGTGTGTGTGTGTGTGTGTGTAGTAAGGATGAATTACATTTTCCATTAATACAAAAAGCCAATATTTACAGGCATCTTCCAAAAACTTCATTTGGACAAGGAAGCTGCCAGATAGATTGGGGAGTTGGGGACAAAGAACAGATTATAAATTTATTGGGTAGGAAACAGAGTAAAAGAGCAGTAAAAGCCAGGAACTTCATGTGGCTTTCCAAAGAGCAAACTAAGGCCAGCAATTATTTGGAAGAGGTGACAAGGACACAGCAGGAGCTGATGTGTGTATATATATATATAAAACAGAAAAATATCTCTCAAATTTGGTTAGCTATGAAGTAAAGTGGTTAGGACAGCTAGGTAGCACAGTGAATAAAGCACTGGGCTTGAAATCAGGAAGACTTATTTTCATGAGTTCAAATTCAGCCTCAGACATTTAATAGCTGTGTGACCCTGTGAAAGTCACTTACCCCGTTTGCCTCAGTTTCCTGATCTGTAAAATGAGCTGGAGAAGGAAAAGGAAACCATTGTAGTATTTTGCCAAGAAAACCCCAAAGTAGGGTTACAGAGAGTTGGACACAACTGAAAGACAAAAAGTGGTTAACAAAAAAAAAAAGTTCTGCTCAGAAATATTCAGGTAACATCTGTTCTACCCCCATAGCTAAAATACATTTTCTTTTGGTTGAGTATTTTTCAGAACAGCACTGGATAAAGTTTGAAAAACATATAAATAACCACTCCATTATAGCTTTTTGTCTATCCCCATGGGTTTATCTTAATGTACTTGCTAAACAATGGAAGAATTACAATTTTTATGTTGTGAGAGAGTGTAATATGGGAAAAGTACTGAGCTGGAAGTAAAGACAACTAGGGCCTAGTCCCAGTTATCATTAACTAGTGACCCTGCACTAGTCACTTCACCGCTCTTGAGCCTTTCATCTGGAAATGAAAGCATTAGGCAAGTTGACCTCTAAGATCTCTTCCAGCTAACACAATTATGTGATGGGTCAGATCCTAGACAGGCATTCAAGCTGTTACAGTAGGGGTAGGAGAGGGTGAGGTTGTTCCGAGTGAACCCTCACGAGGGTTCAAGGTTTAAGATGAAGGAAATGGTGTTGATGTTCTTTGTCTGATAACGAAGGAGACGGGTTTCAACTTCTTAGACTGGCGAATGGAAAAGGTGAACTTGCAAAGCACACACGTGCGTTGGCCCGGGGGCTCGCTCTTCTTTACGCCCTCCTAATCTAGTTCCTCAATCTCGCCTTTTCCCAGAAATAAACAGGGCGGCAAAAACAATGGGCTCCGCCGCAGGGAGTGTAACTTCCTCCTCCCGAAACCTGCCGAGCGTCTGCAGCCTGGCGGCGAAAGCGTTAACAGAACTGGATGAGTAAGCCGAGCCATCCAAATGAGTAACATACATAGTTGTTAAAGTTTTCAAGGAGGCTGCAGCTTCGGGAGAAGACACGAGACACTTGGGCTGAGCGCGCCGGCTGAGCTCCTTCTGCAAAGGTCAGCGGCGTGAGGTTAGTGGCGGAACTGGCCGGGAGCTGACTACCTACCGGAGCGAGCCAGAGCCTGGCATCTTTGAGGGGAGCGGGGGAGCTGGGGAGTGGGGGAGCAGTGGGAGTGCCCAGAGCTGTCTCTCTGCATTTAAGATCTCTTTTGCTTATTAGGGGGCAGCCCGCGACGTTTTCTCTGCCTCCTCCCCAAGACTTATTCAGTACGCACAAGCCCTGAAACTGGCTTAGAGCTGCGTGAGGAGCGTCGGACTTTTCCGAGAGACTTACTTAGCTCTAGCGAGTTCGGGAGGGCCATTACACCCATCAAGAGGAAGGACAGGATTTCTGAGACTTGGCATTTTGACTTTGGGAAGTTTTCAACACACACACACACATTCACACAAAAACACACACCTGTGAACTCTGGATTCGGCTTGGTTTTTGGAAGTTGTGGCTACAGGCCAGAATTCCTATCTGTTTCAGTTAAAACTCAGAACTGTTGTCAAAGTAGCCAAACAGGCTTAGTTACTTTACATTGTGGGAGGAATATTGCCTTGTGTGGTTGTCTTAGATAATCACGCTAAGTAAGCAGAGTGAGGCTTAAAGCGACCAGTTTGCAGTTGGAGGTAAAATTATTAATGAAATAGGTTGCTAGATGAGAGGTTTCCCATGTGTTACTAAGAAATCTCATACAAGAAACGTATTTAAAAGATGCTAACCTTACATCTTCATAGTATATTGCTTTGTAATTAACTTTTTTTTTGGGGGGGGATAGGTCAGAAGGGCAGAATTGTGAGGGACTCCAGGTGTGGAGTGCGCACCTTTGCTGATGTAGATTGGCAATTCCTCCGTAATTTAGTTTTACAAGAGGCCTTTCCTGATCCCTCAGTTAATAGTGTACTTCTTTCCAAATTATTTTCTATTTATTTGTGTACATGCTTCCCCCTACCCTACCCCAATAGAATGCCCTGTGTCCATGGTCACAAAGTGAGTTTGTGACTCCAAGGCAAGACTGCCTGACTCTAAGGTTGGCCTGCTGTCTACTAGAGCAAGCTGCCTCTTATAATCAAACATATGCCTAGGAAAAAAATGAGGAAAGAAAGTCATAGATCTATATCCTCCAAGAGGTTTTGATTCTGCTGTGAGATGAGACTCAGGCAGGTTTGTACTTCCCAACCCACCCCTAGCTTCCGTTTACAGGTAGGAATTAGCATAGCTACTTCAATATGAAGTATTCACCTTGGATTTTAGCTTTCCCTCCAAAACTCCAGTTAACTTGTCAACCAGTTGAAAGTCCCCTCTGATTCCTGCCGCCGGCTTGAGAGGCAATGCTGTACCTGCTACTACTGAATCACAGTGACTCACTTGAAACTTGGATTCCGGAACAAAGTACACACTTGCAAATTGCCTTATGAGGCACTGCTTCACAATGTAGGTGGGATACATTTCAAAGCAGTCACATTTTTTCTTGTCCTCTCTTTTTCTTCAGACGGCAAGGTTCTCTGAAATCCAGGACCCAGCCGGTGTTCTCCTGAGGACAGATCTGACCTGCTCCCCCATCCCCCACTTCTTGTCTCAGGTCGCCTTACCATGTGGACTCTGTCCGTTCAGGCCAGGATTGGAGTTTTAAAATAAGATGGATGATCTGGCGTTACTTGATCTTCTGGAGTGTCCCGTGTGTTTTGAAAAGCTCGATGTCACAGCCAGAGTCCTCCCCTGCCAGCACACCTTTTGTAAACCATGTCTACAGAGGATATTCAAAGCACGCAAGGAACTGAGGTGCCCAGAATGCAGAACCCTGGTCTTCTGTGGTATTGAGGAACTCCCAGCCAACTTGCTCCTGGTGCGTCTCCTGGATGGCGTCCGATCGGGTCACGGCATGGTGAGAGTGGGCTCCACCCGAAGACCTGGCATATTGACCTCTCAGGACCCAAGCAGGAAAACCAGGACAGATCCCAGAGGTTCACAGCCTAGTCCATACCGACTGACTCCCAATGTCCGAATCCACATGGATGGGGTAAGAAAGTATCTGTTAATATTCTGTCATGCCAGAGACTGGATTGTTAAATACAAATGGCTAAGGAATACTTGGTTTTAGTTGAGTCTTTATTTCTTGCAAAATTTCTAGCATCAGTAAACTTCCTTACTATTTATTATTATGTAATGGACCCAAGTTCAAAGGCAGCCTCAGATACGTACTAGCAGTGTAACCCTGGGCAAGTCACTTAACTTCAGTCTGCCTTTTTTTCCTCCTCTGTAAAATAGGGATGATAATAGCACCTAACTCCCAGGGCTGTTGCAAAGGTAAAATGAGATGATATTTGTAAAGTATTTTACAAATCTTGAATCTCTATATAAATACTAGCTAGCTATTATCAATACTATCCTTTTATGCTTAACTGTGCAACTTGGTGAGATCCTAAGTATGTCTAAAACTCTACAAACAGTCTGTGAACTCTTCTTATACATGCCCACTTCTGGAGTATATTTACAGATTTTTGGTTTTCCCAGGTTCTGTTCAGGGAAGTAATAGGGATGGGTTGTTGTGTTTTTTTTTTCAGAAATATTTTTAAACTACTTTTCACTGTTGCTTTTAAGGAACCAAACCAATAAGCGGAGAAGCATGACTAAAAAAAGAAGGGAACATTTTTAAACTGCTTTGTTTTCAAGGCTCAGGAAAGTTTCCAGATTCAGATTTATTTAGATTTTTGCCCCAATCTCTTTATCCCAGTCATAATATGCAGTTATGATGATGCACATTTATAATCTACTAAAAGTCATCAAGAAATGAAAATCTTAAAGATGGGGCAGGAAAAGTATGTAGAAGTGGATTTATTGATCTACTCCACCATGCTGTGCCTTGAGCTGGAGTCAGGAAGTCCCGAGTTCAAGTTTGATCCTCAGACACTTAGTAGATATGTGACCCTGGGTAAGTCACTTAACTTCAATGCCTCAGTGCTCTCATCTGTAAAATTATGGTAATAATAACTCCTGCCTTACAGGGTTTTAGTGGGAATGAAATGAGTTAATATGTAAAGCAGTTGGTAAACCTTAAAATACTATGTAAGTACTATTATTATAATGATGATTATTAGTGTAACAGATGAGCATTACATTGGAAATTTACATACTATTCATAAAAGACACATTAGTGGCTATCATAAAAAACAACTAGAAATATTAATGTCCCACAGAGTTCTGTATATTTAAACATCTTATACTATAAAGCATGCATTTTTTGTCTCAGCCTGTTGGCATTATCCTATCTTTATGCTGTTGTTGCACATTTCTTATCTCAGGACATTTTATAAAGGGCTCATCTTTATAAAAAGAAGTGTGCCTTGTGAATTAACAAGGACATTTGCAGTTTTACCCCTGAACTCAGCGTGCTAGAGTTTCTTCTGATGTAGACCTAGGGACTGTGGACAACTCATATGATAGTCGATTTACTTGTCCTAATTAGAAAACAAGAATGCAAGGCCAGACTAAGCAGCTGTGAAATAATGAAAGCAAGAGAGTTTTCATAACAGCGGCACAGTCAATCACGACTTGGCTCTTCAGTGGGCAAGATGGGGGAGAGTAGGGAGGTGGTTTTACATAGGCAGCTTCTTTCACTGAATGTCTGCAGAGCTGAGAATTACCACCCCAGTGTTAACAAGTGCGTGTGGAGGGGGAGGAGAGAGGGAGTTCCCTAAGAACCTACTTCTGTATTATTTAACTTCTCTTCGCCACTCATTGTGGTAGGTAAGTATGTAAAATTTCATAAATGAAAGCTGAGAGGGAAATAGGTGCACATTCTTTAGTTGTGGGCTTATGTAGATATTTGTGTGTTTAAACACGCAAACTCCAAACAGTTTCCTGCCTTTCCTTCTCCTCCCTCCCCCCTCCCCACCCCCCCACCTCAGCTAAGTGATGGTAGAGACAAAGCTTAGAACCCGTCATGGGGGAGGGGAGGTAGGAGAAATGGAAAAGGGCAAGGGCACACATTAATCAAGCATACCTTATTTATGGAGAACTTTTATCTCTTAGGCTTATGCAAATCCAGCATCAAATCCCTAACCAAGTCCAAGTGTCACCATTCCCAAAAGCTTAAATGGCCGTTTTTATAGTAGTCCACCATGACTTTTAGGTGGCCCTTTAGAGCACTGGGACTGGAATCAGGAAGACCTAAGTTCAAATCTGGCACCAAACACTTGCTGCGTGACCCTGGGCAAGTCACTTAACCCTGTTTGCCTCAGTTTCCATATCTGTCAAATGAACCGGAGAAGAAAATGGCAAACTGCTCCAGTATCTTTGCCAAGAAAACCCCAAATGGGGTCAGGAAGTCAGACAAAACTGAACCACAACAACGGCAGACAAATGTGTATTGAATTGAATTGGTGAGGGGCCAGTCAACAATCAGCTGCTTGTTATGGATGAAGAACTTGGTGCCTTTGAAGTTCTATGCTTCTTTCTCTTAAAGGATCAAAGGCTCATTAGACCTCAAAGGTTATCTAGCACAATACTCTCAATATACAGATGAGGGAAATGAAAACTTGTCCAAGAGACAGATCCAAACCAAATTCCTCTTGACTCCAAGTCTAGTACTGCGGACAATATCTCAAGGGACTGAAAAGCGCCTTTAGATATTAGAAGCCCATGTGGGGCTTGGTTTTCCTCCACCACAGCAGCATTTGTGGAGTAAGTCACGTCTGACTCTTCATAACCTCCTTTAGGTCTATCCATTCTGTCCACATCCACTGTGCTACCTACCTGCCCCAAACATTTGTGAAGCACCTACTGTGTTCCAGGAACTGTGCTGAGCCCTCAGGATGCAAAAAGAGGCCAAAGACAGTCCTAGCCCTCAAGGAACTTACAGTCTAATGGGGAGACAACATGCAACCAAATATGTACAAAGCGAGCTGTATTATAGGATAAATAGGCAATAATTTAAGAGAAAATTAAGAGGAGTTAGGGAAAACGTCCTGCAGAGGGTGAGATTTTAGTTGAACATTTTTTATTATGACACTGTCATTCCTCAGCCAGGGATTGTGATTTCAGACAAGGGTGTTAACTACCACTGGACCATAGATTTTGAGCTTTAAGGGACCTTAAAGTCCATAGGATCATAGATCTAGAAGTTAACGGGACCTCAGAAGCCAACTGGTCCAACCTTTTCGTTTTACAGCTGAGGAAACTGAGGCCTAGCGAAATTAAATGACTTGTCCAAGGTCTATTGAAAATGTGAAGTGGTAGTGGTGGCTGAACTACCACTAACTCCTGGGATAAGAATGAAACCACTAAACCTAGCTGTCAACTAGAACCCAGTTTAAGAGCCAAGATCAACAAAGCTAGTTTACTGTGATGTAGTCCTGCCTCACACAAACCTTTTCAGTCCAGACCCTTGCCATTTCAGCCCCTGGGTGATGATGTCTTTGAACACCTCTCTCCTCCATTCCTTGATCTTTTTAGATCTTGACTTCTCAATTGGGGATGTGCACAAACTTGTACCTGGCATTGTGC